TTTCTTATGATTTTGTGTACTCGTACGCTGGAATTTAGTCCTACCTAGGCTGTAAATTAGTCCAGTCGTCATGACTTTTGGAGAGAGGCTCGTTAAGAAGTTTTTTTTGCACTGGATGATGCTAAGGAATTTGGTATTTGCACCTGCAATAAACATCATGTTTGACATAAGATGTATCATGCAAACACATTTGAAACACGTTCAAAATCATGAATGAGTCATCGAGTAAAAATAAATATAGACTAAACAAATACTTGTTTGTAAAGAGCTGAACAAAATACTACCATAAAGCCTTTAACGATAGAGATGAGATGTGGCGAGAATTTGGCACTCAGTTGTTTATTATTAGGTGTGGCAGGCGGCCAGGTTTATTTTAGGTGACGAATTGCGTCTTGCCGCAATCACGTAAGGCGTTTATGTATAAAGAGGTATGGACAGACCGCGGGACAGGCAAATCCTGATAAAACTCGTTTAGGTTCCCGTTCACCTTTTGAAAAAATCAAACAAACATGAACAATTCATCAAATTAGATATCGTTGGTATAACGACAGTCGGTGTAAGTATAAACGGAACTTAGGGAGTAAATTTCCACAACTCCGGATTCTTGTAAACGGATTTTCAATAGTTGAATTGAAATTCTGGTTTGATAGCCAATGGAAATTTCTAGTTTTTGAGCTTTGCATTTCAAATATTTTCTTGAAACTTTAAGTGTGCGTCTTTAACAGAAGTTTCCTGAGGAAAAGTTGTCCAAACGATTGCTGTCTTTACCGCTGGCTTTTGCAAAAGATCGAGTGAACTATTACAAAATGTGACTTGTCTCAGAAAAGACGCTACATATATTGGTATAAGCATCGAATATAACTATCCTTGTAGTGGTTATCATAAAAAAACTTTTAAGTAAGGAATATTATGATCATGGAAGTTTTTTGTGTTAGATAACTGGCCCAAGTTGGCGTATGTTGCAAAATATCACATCTACTTTTTGTTCCGTTACCATTTCTTATCAGGTGTCGGTGAAAATTGTTGCGATTCTCATCTTGTCCATTGCTGCTGAAACGAAAATACAATATCTCAGATTTTTGGCACCTTTAAATCTACGAGCTGCACATGTATTCTAGATTTTTATTGTGCAGAAGAAGACAGCCAAATTGTGATGAATTATTCATAAAATAATATGGTCCTTTTTGCATCATAAACTCACAAATCCAATGCTATTCAAAGTTGGATTGCATATTTCCGGAAAGCTATGTGGAGTTTAATTAAATTGTATATCTGCCCGCGGGTGCATTGCGCCAGATACCTGAAGTCTGAATTAAAACTTGAATGGCTTGACTACGCACACCATGTTAATTATCTAGTAGATTATCAAAGGGTACTAGCATTGTAATGCTAGAACTAAAATTGTGAGATCTCCATGCTTAGTCAGCTGTGTGAACTTTGAAACATGCAAATTTCATTTGAAAAGTACATCTTTCAGACCGTACGCAAGGACGAATTCCACCGATACGATTGCGCGTATTCCCGCAGTTTAGTACGTTTTGACCGTGTGATCTCATTTCAGCGACGACCTTTCGGATGGACTGTTGATTTCCACACGGATCATGGCTGAGAACGGGTGAGTTTTGTGCATTCTTATTATGTTCATCCTCTTGTAAGAGATGCCCTTGTCCATGTAGAGCTGCCTTATGTATTTTCTTTTTTATATTTTGTGATCGAGATTCCTTCGTAGATGTTTTTAATATAAATATTGATAATTGTATGCTACATAATCAAATTATTCATCAATATTACTTTAATTTGGACAAATTCTGTAAATTCGATGTAAAATTTAATACCATTATGTTTGAAGTACCTTTAGTGTTTTAAACACACCAGTGTATACCATATTCTACTTAAGATTATTTACGTCCTAGATTGTACGATTTAAAGTTAAAAATGGTGCAAAATTATGAGTTCTTCTTTTCGTTACCTGAAAGTGATTGTATGAAAAATGTCTCAAGCATTGTAACATGTCAGGGCTCATTGTACTATTGTCGTCAACGTTTGTCCTAGAGCAAAAATAACTTCGCATTGGCTGCCTTCCAGGTACGGACCACTAGCCGGTCACATCGGCAGAATTCCAAACTACGGGAAAAATCAACCTAATGTAAGTGTTTCATTCATCTGTACCGATTACCTATTAGAAGTCCAATTAAGTCCGTTCACTACTTGCTTGCACAGTACTAAGTATTCGACGAAAACGTAATAATATTATAACCTATTCACCTTTACATGTTAAAAATGATTGAACGTAAAAAAATCGTTTGCAAAAATTATATTAAAGTTACCGCGATTGTTTGGAATTCTTCGACGAGATTATGTAAATATACGTCCCACAGTCTCGGAAGTAAAGAGAAAATTTCGGGGAACATTATTTTTAGTTTACTTTAACAAGCTTGTAACATGTGGCGTCTTCTCAATTTCAGCCAATGGGTAGCGTCGAGCCGCCACCGTGCATCCAAAATGCGATGATGACTAAGGACAAGAAACCGTTTACCTACACGCCTGGGGGTTTGGATTTGTCACAAATCCGAACACCTAGCATGGCGAGAAGATTGGCGAGGCAACGCTCTCAAGAAGAACATGAGCAGGCTTATGCGCAGCAGCCTCATCCAGCAACCGCTTATCACCCTCAAGGAGGACCCGCACCCCCTCCACCTCCACCTCCCAAGATTCCAGCACCACCCCCGCCTCCTCCACTGGTAATTGAGGCACCAACATCTAAGTCACCTAAGCCAGTGACAGTAGGAGAGAGACCAGAAATCGTAATCCCGGAAAATCCCATAGGCATGCTCAGGAAAACCAATAGTCCTTATCACTGGGAAGCAGAAAAGGCTGAGCTAAACCGCATCGGCCCGGTGCCTAAGTTTCAGGACAAGAAACCTAGTCCACTGACGGTGACAATGCCACCGTCCTCATTTTCACAGCAGCCGCCTCAGATGTATGCTCCGCAAGGCCAAACTTCTCAGGGATCTAATTATCCTTACGGTAACCGAAATCAGCCAGAAAGTCCTATTCACAGGCCGGAGGCGCAATATGCTCATCAAAAATCGAATTCACCTAATGTCAACGGTTCACCATTGACAAGAGAATTATTGCAGAGGCAAGATTCTCAATTTAATAAAAGCCCACAACCATTTGGCGCTCCGTCACCTGTCAGTAACGGCTCACCCTACTCCCCTACACCTAACAACAACTGGAGGCAACCGGAGAGAAGGGATTCCCCTGCTAACAATGTTCACAGCCCTCAGTTTGCACAGTCGAACCGTAATCAATTTTCACCTAACGTTCAACAGTGCTCTCCTGAGTACACTAATCAAACTTCCCCTAGACCTGTGTTCCACACTCTTCCCAGAAATGCACCGAGAGTACAAGATAATTACGTAAACAATACGCAAAATAGCAATGCAATTTACAATAACATCAAGGAACCAGCGACACAGAGTCCCAGAGAAGACGATCCAACGCCGTGGCGGACCAGCACTCTTAATCGACAACCTCGTGAGCCAGAAGATCGGCAATCTATTTATCATAATAGCAAAATAAACAATCAACAGCCTACATACACGCCTCCATGGCAATCGAATGAAAGCAAGAATAATCAAGCAGATAACGCTTACATTCCCTCCTGGAAACAAGAAAATAAATTCGTAGGTCAAAATCAACAACAGCAACAGTGTCAGCCACCACAGCAGCAGTACAATCCTTGGGTGCAACAGCAGGATAACAACAATAATAATAGACAAGACAACTACAATCAACAGTGGAGGTCTCAGAATAATCCTGTTCCCACCTCTCCACCCAATAAACAGTGTCAGCCTCAAGACCAACCACGATATCAATCCTCGATGTCGATTCCTGTTACTCCAAGAAAACAAAACTCTCAACCTGAATTCAACAATAATCAAACTGCTCCACAAAAGGAAGCTGTTTATGTAAATGAAGAACCAGTGTATTATTGTCCTGAAAGTCCAAAATCTGTTCCCCCATGGGTAAAAACTCAGAAAGAAAAAACAAAAACCCCACCTCCAGTTTGGTGCCAACGACCATTAGAAGGTAGGAGAAGCGCGCCTAGAGAGTTGGTGACACCTCCCAGAGATACAGAACCAGAGTGGGTTAAGAAGAGTAATGAAATGCAGAGAGGAGTACGTGAAGTGATCAGTCCTCCGAAATATCAGCAACAAGCCCAACCAACTTGGTCAACGCGACCTTCAGAGAACCGTAAGAGTTTGCCCAGGGAGACTACTCCCGGTGCTAATGGTCAACCTGGAACCCGAGTTATTCCTATTCAAATGGAAGTTTCAAATACGGATTCAAGGGATCACGGGAGACAAGGCAACCAACAACCTCCTTTGCGGATTGTGATTAATATGAACACGAATCCCCAAGCCTCGCCTCAAGGTCAGAATCAAGCTCCTTACTCCCAACCTACGCAGCGTATAATGAGGGTATTGTCACCTCAGCTGGTCAGGATGGACGACAGCCCATCGCAAAACGACCTGCCCACCTTGAACAGGAGCTATCAGAATCAAAGCAACCAAGATACTGGACCTAAGACGAGGATCATCCCAATTCAGATTGAAGGTGGTGGTAACGGCGGAGCAAACAAAAGGTAAGCTTTAACAGTATTTCTTTTATTCACTACCCAGTACATATAAAATATCGTTGTTAATACGTCCGTGTTATGTTATAAGGACAATGGGTTTAATGTTTAGCGTAATTGAGATCCCGTATAGTAAAAACACAAATTTGTCATTTGGCGCAAAAATCGTACTGGGAATGTTCGAACAAATTTTTCAAAACTATGTATGTAGTAATGTCTGTAACTCGTTTCAGCTTCGGTGGGCGGTACTAAGGAGCTGTTTGCACTGGTCCAAAGTAAACATACATTTTTATTGCACCGCTTCAGTAGCGATGAGTCAGTGTTACGCTTGTTTTAAATTTAGCATCACATCGCTTCGCAAGCACTCGCTAATTCTGTTTTCTTCACTAATCGAATCATTTTCGCCATGGCCTTTAATGAATTTCGTGTTAGTTTAGTGAAGTCACGTTTAGATTTCTATAGGATTCAACTTCGGCTTTTTGCGAAAGTTTCTTGTTAGATACACTAACTCTCAATTATACTTATATAATCTATGCGATTGTTTTTAACAAACAGCTGTGCGTTTTTTGAATGATTGTACGTATGACAATTAAATTGAACATAAGTAAAACTAGGTATTAAATACATTAATATAAACGTGCCGTGTTTAAAAGCAGAGCGAATTTAAGCAACGCTGTGCGTAATTTGCAACGTTTTATTGTCGAAATCAATAGAGCCTAATATATGAATGTGCTTTCCATCGTTTGATTTTTTTTAAATTCAGTTACTGCCTTGAATAACTGATTTAAATTAACCGATTACAGAGTATACTATCATAAGTTCACTCAAGAGGGTCCCCCGCGGCAATCGAAAGCCTTCCGAGTGTTGCAAGTCATCACAGGTACCCAGGATGATATTCAGGACATGGAACAACAACATGGGTACACCGATCTATAAGTATTTTATTATTCTTGTAATAACTTTTCCCTACCGAGATTTACGAAGTATATTTGTAAAAAAGTGTTAGGGAAAGAAATTATTCAATGTTTACAATTACGAGTAGGAGTAAAATAAAAAATCTGGTTGTTTTATAAAAATGGGACATTTTTATAGTTTTCTTATAACTGCAAATGCATTTGCGCATTAAAAAACATGTGGCTAAGTCACTTTTTCTCTGACTTAAGCTAATAGAATTACGAAAAAAATTTTAGGAATTTACAGTAATTTACGTTCATGGCAGTTGGATTTATGTATTTTACAAATTTGAACGTTACGACTGAAGTTGTACTTAAATTATTTTCCTTATGGAAAAGTTTATACAAGATATAAATACGTATAATTTGTATAATGTAGTATTTATTTAATCCAAAAGTAATTATCAAAACTAATGGTGCGTGTAAACACGCTTAATTTTAAAGCGGTTAAGTATATTTTGAGAATTTATATATTATACTCCGTCCAACCATTTATATGACTTATGACATATGCATGTCTCCGATGTTCCGTAATTATTGAAATACAACCATAGACAGAAAATGCAATACTTCCTGGAGTCTTTGGTTTTTTAATTTTAGTGAAGCGACGTGCTCTTTAGCTCCGATATTTATCGAGGCAACAGATTATGTATCAAAAATTATTCAAATTGATACATTTTGGTACCTGTCTGATAAATAAATTACAATGCAATTAGATAAATTATGATAAATTGTAATTGTTTATTATAGTGAATCGTCGGATTATTTTTACATATGAACGGGAATCATGGCTCGAATCCTTATTAACATTGATTATTAATTCTTGAGTACACGAATTGTCAAACGCAACATAATCTTCCCAATCAGACATGTTTTCTTTTTTAACCCGTTCACATTCACGACTTAAACTTCAAAAATAAAATCGATTGTTATAAAAAAATCGAATCGGAAACACATTAGGACATCACTAATTGATTAGAATTCAAGCTGTCACAAGTTAAATAGGTGGACCTAAATGGTTGGACGTAGTATAGATTGTTATGTATTTATATAGTAAGAAAATAAACTAAAACCTTAATATTAGGGTGCGACGGAGTTAAATGGCGAAAGAAGTATGTAAGCTTTTATTTTGTGATTTTACTAATGCTCATTTTTAATATGGCCATGGAGCTATAACTCAAGATGACTGCTAATCTCCATACTACAGGTTGTAACTCCAACAAAGGTCAAAATTCCACCTTATGTCTAGGAGGCGCTGATCAATAATCGCCTGTAAGTAATTTATATTATACAAATATATATGTGGATATAAATTAATTCCACTTTAATATGAACTATAAGAAGTCAGTTTATTTACTTATTCGAATATTGATCATGAGCTAAACTTATTTTCTGAACTTTGACAATATATTGCGTGTTACAAACTAATTTATAATTAACACTTCCTAATATGGATAGATGGCACTAATCTTAAATAAAATAAAACAATAGCCGTCACTATGCATAAAAATCTGTGCAAAAAGCGCCATCTAGTGGATTTGTTTGTATTACTACTAATTACAGTAACTTTGATGAATTGCTACTTATTAATGTAAAAACAAATTAGTTACAAAACTAGCTTTTTGGGGTACCAAAGTGCGACGAGTACGTCGCGACATTTCTAGGTACCAAAGACTCGACTACGCTATCTTGTGTCGCGATTACCCGTCCTCTTGTGTTAATGGTCCATGATATGGTTATAATTTAAAATTATCGAAGGTATAAACAAGCGCATGGAAAAATTCTTAAGATCGGCTGACCCGACCTGTAGCTCAGTAGGTAGAGCGATCGCCCTAGTACACATAGACACAATTTCGAGTCCTTTCAGATAGAAGGAATTTTTCTTTATTTTCGATCTTTGTATATTCGATGTTTTAATACTTACCTTTTTTTCACTAAGCTGCTGCGGTGAATAAATGGATATATAAGATATTTAGTTGCAACTGTTTCAAGAAAAGTACTTGGTACTTAACATTAAGTTCTTTTAGTTATTAACAGCTACATGGCCCGTCTAGCTTGAACCCGTTGAAACTGAATCGCGTGGACAGTGCTAGTATAAAGAAAAAGGTTCTTTGCTTTCTCATTTCGGACACTGCTAGATATTTGGCTGTTAGCTTCTTTTCTTTATGATGTAAGTTTTTGTCAATATTAACAATATATCATATAATAATGAATGCGTGATGAATATCGCTCCCGGTTGCAGTTTAGTTGAATAAAAAAATATCTTCGTTCGTTCAAATCGAACACGGTCATTTGTGTAAAGAATGGGTTACTAAATTTTGGCTTTTTATTATATAAAAAAAAATATATTTATTTTTACGACAACGGCTAGTTTACCAAAGATTATTTTTATTTAAACAAAGTGTTTTTTAATCATAGCTCTGTGTACTGTTTAAAATTATGGTAAGAATTTTTAATTCTAAGTTAGATAGTTTTAAATTTTTCTAAACGTTACCATTTAGTTTTAGAAGCTTCTTACTCGTAGAATAGGTATCTAATTTGTGGTCAACCTGCTTTCTTAGATAATGTAATTAATTATAATTGGGTTCACTTCAAGTCTCTTTATTTAAAGAAAATTCATTATTATTATAATATGTATCACATTTACGGAGGCAATCGGTTATTTAATTTCAAGTTAATATCTTACTAATTCATGTTTTTACCTGTTTTACATAATAATTAATGACCCTTGTATCTATATAACACATTCATGCTTCTACTTACGTAATTTTTTTACTGTATTTATATAAATTATAACTTTTATCACGTACTAATAAATTAATCATCTTTTTTTATACGTATATTATATATTTATCAAGAATAATAATTTGAAAAAGAATCGACAATTCTAATGAAATTGGCATTTCGTTCAAAAACCCTTCTCCAAATTCTGGTTTGTGTGATTAACAAAATAATTGCTTTGTTTTTAATTAATTCGCTCCAACGTGTAGCGATATGGTTCTTCTTAAACGGTAATAATGAAGGTAATAAAGGTTGAATACTTAAAAAAATCATAATAATATTTAAAATGAACATTAGGCTAATGACCGCGTAGCGTAGAATAAGTAACATAGCGCATTAGTGCCTTTGCCTTTTACACAATTGAAAACCCTGTACCAAAAAAACTAATAAAAAACGTGTTGTCATTTATTAATTGGTTTGGAATAAAGTTGAAATTATTTTGATACATTTGGAAATGTATAAAATTTGTAAAATGTTTCAGAAGCAGGTCATTTTGGATTAGGCATACGTTTATTACTTTTTTTAAAAGCACCATAATTCGTTACACAGGATGCTATCTTCGGCAGACAAGGGGTGTGGCAATCTAGTCAGTGTGATCTTTATAAGTTATAAGTATAATAAAATATATTTTATATACATATATATATATATATATTTATAATTTAATTTAATACGCGTTACCGTTAATATTATAGATTTTATATTTTGCTTATTTATAATAAATTGTTTAGTCCTTAAGTATGAATTAATTTTATAATAAAATAATTAATTTGGAAAAACCGGAGTTGTGTTTGATTTTAATGTTCAGAAAGCAAAAGGTGATTTTTTTTTATTCTAATTTTTTTTTTAATTAGATTGTACAATAATACTAGCACAATACGTGCGAAGAACAGTCCTAAGGAAATTAATGAAGTGAACAAGGAAATACATCGTGTTCGGCATGGAGTTCTGTAGAATAATCCGTGTGTACTGGCCGTATAGACTATACCTAGTTGATAAATTATCATAATAGATGCCGCTAATTGTAGCGGTGCGACAATTGCAGCGGTGCGATGCATTAAAACGATTAATGCAACCATAATGCAACATAAACTCTACCTTCTACGATAAAGTTCTTTAAGAGGGAGCATGCCAAAAAAGTTTTGACGTTGGCTCCGCCCAAATTCGTGAAACAAATATATGCCTGAAGTTCGCGTGACATACGACAGGAGATGTTGAATTTTGCGCATTAAAAGTACCAAATTCTTTTTAGCGGAATAACTCTAAAACTAAAGGGATTAAAAAAAATCCGTAGTGACAGTTCTCGATCATGCATAAATTTAATTAATTATCTAATTTTTGTCCTAATAACCTGTAGCATTTCGAGGATGAATCGAAAAAATGTGAAAATTAGTGGTCATTTCGTGATTTTTATCTATCGAGGAAACTTTATTGTTTTATGTTTCTGATTAGTGTCTATGCTTGAATATATCGTGTAGTTACTCATACAATATTTTATTTTTAACTTTAAAGTGGATATACCCCTCTAAAATCAAATCGAAGATTAAGAAATTTTCCTCTGGTCCCTCTTAAGCAAAACATGAAAAAGAAGAAGAAGCAAGTGACGACGTGCGGCGGTAAGAAGTGCCGCGTGCACTTCTAAAATGCAATATAATGCAGAACTTAATCTGTACTTAATAAAATGTTCCCAACTCTCCGGTTGACTGGAAGAGAATGCCTAGTGGCATTATGTAAACATTTGTAAAGTTTTGTGTGTAATAAAGTTTAAATAAATAAATAATGTAGTATTAATTTCTCCTAACAAAAGAAAGAAATAGCGCCGCGCATCCTGTCGTCGGCAGCTTACGGCAATTACAGATTACAGACATAGAATGAGAAACTCCCGGGTTCGATTCCCGATACCGATGTAGGTGTTCTGTGCCATGTGTTTTGTTCCATTTAATTTTATAACTTGAATTGATAATGCTTTGAAGAAATTTTCACACCCCGAAAATTCACATAGTCCTCTATATTTTTATGAAAAATAGGGTATTTTAATTTACCGCTTCTGGCGCAAATGGCGCAAAATTGGAATTTATAGCGTGACTTTTTTTTTACCTTATCTAGAGTCACGGCTTTTGTTTCTCTTTGTCACAATTTATTAAACGTTGATCGGGTTTTGAACGTTGTCTTTATATTTATCTAAGGAGGTTCATTTCTAAGGTTGAGAACAAATTAGTTAGTTGGTATAAGAAGTAAACTGTTAAAGTTTTAATTCTAAGTCTAGACAGGACATTGACTCGAATTATTTCAACGTTTGATATAGGAAAATAGCCGCGGTAACCTAACGGTATGACCTATTACCTCACGAGCAGAGGGCGTGGGTTTGAATCCGGATTTGCACATCTGCGTATTTCGAAATTTATGTGTGAAATTAAATTTGAAATTTACCATGATCTTATAATTGTCGTGATGCAACTTGCACATCGAAAACGTGAGAAGTCTCCAGCCCGCATTAGGCCAGCGTGGCGGACTATGGCCTAAATCCTCGCCTGAG